GGTCTTTGAAGATACTAGCTATGTTAACATGAGGAGTAATCCTCTAACAAGTAAGACTCCAATTAGTAAGACTGGTGTTCTTAACAAAGGGAAGATACACAGAGACAAGGAGGAGGGAAGACATCATGTGACACTGCCCCTTCTAAGTCACGGGACACCTGGAGCTACACGAATCTAGCAGAGAGGCAAAGAACAGATTCTTCCTCAAGCCTGAGAGGGAATCAAAATAGCCGACTCCCTCATCTTGGATTCCCAACCGCCAGAACTATGGGACAATAAGGTTTTGTTCTTATCAGACACTCAATCTGTGGTATTTTGTTATGGGTTTGTTGTTGTTAAGTGCCATCAAGTCAGTTCCAACTCATAGCAATCCTGTCTAGGGTTTCCAAGGTGTGGCTGGTGGGTTTAAACCATGGACCTTGCATGGGCAGCAATCCATTGCTAATCCTACAGCACTATATGGGGGACTCCTTTGTTATGGTAATACTAGGAAATTAATAAGGGATCAGTTTTGCACAGGTGTTAAACATAGGGTTGAGTTTACAAAAGGCTCCCAAGTCTGAAATTTCTCCCTTGTCTTTCTTTACTTGGTTGAATTTCTTTCAACTCAAGTGTTAATGGAAAAATAGTTGAAAATGAAAAATAAAACCAAAAAGGATGCTCTTTCAGAAGGCTGAGTTCTACAAAAGAATATACTTCCAGATATCCCATTTTGTGTTCCATGCACACGCCTGTAGACAGGTCAGCCTCACATACAGCCAAGCCATACCAACCAGGTGCTATAGATAGGAGCTGTTAGGTTTTACTATTACAAGGTCAAGTATAGCCAGTGGTATTATACAAACTTACATACTAATTTCTCTATGAAATAAAATTCAACTGGATACAGAAAATTAGACTGAATCCCTAGTTGTGATACCAGTCATCTAGTTAAAAGATGGAACCTTGGAGTTATAGGAGAATGAATACTGAACACAAGCATAGCCTTGGAAAACTTCTCACTCCAATGACTTCTGGCTGAAATTAATCTCAAAACACCTTGATGTGGCTCTTGTCTTCTGTTAAAAACGGGTATACATATTCTATTGCAGTTATAAAATCAATTTTATAGAGGTTAGACCAGATCTTTTATGTTATTTAACATGGTTCAGTTCAATGAATCTTTCAGTGTTACCTATTTTTACATCTAAAAAATGGTGCCTTACATTGTTGGGACCAATCTGTATCTAGTCAAATGGGGCACTCTAGTATTACTCTGGGGTTGTCTCCAACTGTTCATTTCAGAAACTCTCCCCATGTTCAGAGATAAGTAGGTGCACGTGCCTGCTTCTCAAGTACGTGTTTGGGCTCCTGGGAAGCTCTGGCTAATCTATTTAAATTATTCTGACGCAGGCAAAACAGCTAATGGCACACTGGGTGACTCCAACTTTAACCCCAGAGCATGCCTGAGTAGAGGCTGCAATGAGCAGCTGTCATAGACCTAAGGATTTATAAAGATTTGCCCATTTGGACACAGATGAGAAGCAGAACTAGAGAGGTTAAATTTAGGTTAGGTCACCTAAACTTTTGTTGTTGTTAAGTGCCATCGAGGCGGTTCTGACCCATAGCAACCCTGTATAGGGTTTCCAACGAGACGCTGGTGAGCTTGAACTGCCAACCTTGTAGGTCAAACAGTTTTGCAGTCTGGCGCATTAATCCACAGCGCCACATCAGGACTCCTAAACTGTAAGAGGACTAAAATAACAGAGGACGGGGTAGAGAGATATATAGGCAAAATTATCTGTTATTCTCTTTTCCTCTATATTAACAGTTTCAAGTACTTACTCTCTGGCCCCAAAAGTAAAGTGAGGTACTTGCTAAATCTTGACACTTTATTCTTGCTGGTGGGCCACATGCTAGGGGCTACTTGTGGACCAGACATTTAATTTTTTCTCCCATATGCCATCTTGTAGGGCAGTAATGTTGTGGTATTTGATTAGTGAAATTTATTCAAAACAAAAGATTTGCTGCTGCTTACTATGCTTTAGGAAGTCCTGGTGTGGTGCTGTGAGCTAATGTGTCAGACTGCAAAGGCATCTGAACTGCAAGGTTGGTGGTTTAAGCTCACCAGCTACTGCTTGGAAACCCTATACAGGGTCACTATGGATCAGAATCTACTCAACGGCACTTGACAACAACAACAACTATGCTTCAAGCACTGTGCTTGGCAGGGAAATAAAAAGGGGACAGTTTCTGCCTTTGAGGAACATTGGATTTAGTGGGACTGCCAGCATTATAAACATGCTACGTGCTATGACAGACAGTAGGTGTGGGGCAAACAGATGGTCACCCAACCCCTGAGGGGTCTCCTACAGGAGACCCCTCAGGGAGAAGGCATGCGAAGAGTGAGGAGGAAGACAGTTGTGTTTAAGGAACTGATGGCACTGGAAACCTCGTGAAAACAAGCAAAGAAAACTGAAGTAAGAAGGCGTCCTTGTAAAAGCATTGGCAGTTTGGTATTGGAGGAAAAGAGGAATAAGGCAGGATTGCTAAGAATCTTGAATCATTTCCTTTACTTAAAGGGGAACCTTTTAAGGTTTTTTTGGCAGTAAGTGGCAGAAAAGGCTTTATTTCACCAAAAGCTCTCTGGTTGCAATCAGGGAGGATAAATATTTGGTAAGATTAGAGACAAGGCAGGCATTTGGAGGCCACAGTAATGGTCTAGGTGAAAGAATGATAAGGGGCTAAACAAAGCATTGGTAAGAGGGATGGAGAGGAGAGAGCAGAGTCTAGAAACAATCAAGAAAAATGCTGAGGACCTGCATGTGAGAAATGAGCAATAGAGGAGGGAAGAAAGCCCAGGGTGATGCAGTCTGAATTTCAGGTTTGGATGTCTGGATGGATCCTGGGTCTACCAATGGAGGTATGAAAAATAATTAAGAAGAAAGGATTAGATGAAAAAAGATGAATTTCGTTTTGGAGAGGATGAATGTAAGATTACTGAGGTTAGGTAGCCTGAAACTCAGGTGAAAAAGTCAGGATTAAAGCTGACTGTCTGAAAGTTGTCCTTAGCTGCCACAGAATTGGCTTCCATCTCATGGCACACGCCATGGTACACGCCATCCCATGTACAATGGGATCACACGGTTGTGATACAGAGTGTTTTCACTGGGCGGATGTATCAGTGCATCACCAAGCTTTCTCTGCTAGTCTGTGTGAGTCTGGAAGCTCCCTCCAGTAAAACCTGCTCAGTGGTGCAGCACCATGCAACACAAGCCTCCACTGACAGATGGATGGCAGCTCACTTGAGGTTCACTGACCAGAAACCAGCACAGAAATCAGCTGCTCCACTGAATGACCCCTGCCTTTCATCTGAATATGAGCAATAGTCTGAAACCTTTAGGAGTGGACGAAATCTATCAGAATTGTAAGCCAAACACGGAACTCCAAAAAACACTCAACAGTTAAGTGGTAAATAGATGTTGTCACGTGCCCTCAAGTCAGTTCTGAATCACAGCGACCCTATAAAGGGATTCTAAGTATTGGCTGGTGGGTTTGAACTGCCAACCTTGAGGTTAGCAGTCCCGTGTTTACCTACAGTGCCACACCAGGGCAAGCCCACAAAGGAGAAAGGATTAATACTGAAATGGGAAGGAAACAGAGACAGGTGGGTGCAACAGATATCAACAGAGGACTGCATTTCAAGGGGGAGAGGAAACAGCAGTATTTAAATGCAGCAGATAAACAACATGGAAGAGAGACAAGTTTACCAGGAGAATTTCTATTGCAAACTAGTGGGAGAAGTCAGATTGGAGCAAGTCGAGGTGTGGATGGGAAGAAACTAGAGTTCACACTTTAAAAACAGTTTTTGTGCGGAAACCTAAAGAGGAATCGAGTGCTCAGTTTTATTATGAGAGACTTGTGTGATCCAAAAAGTAGGTATTTTTCCTATATAATTATTTAATTAAAATTTAGTGGCACAAGATCTTTCTGGTTTTATTCATAGTATTTTTGTAATTTGTGGTTATGATCTTATATTTTTATCCCCATTACTCTTTATTTGTACATGTTCTCTCTCTTTACCAAATTAATCTAACCCAAGGTTGGTTATTTTATTAAATAAAAGGTACTGGGTTTGTTGCATACCCCCACAAAAAAAGGGTAAGTGTAAGAGACAAAACCTGAAATTATAGGCGAGGGAGGAGATAACCAGCAGAGAGCCAAGGTCCCAGTGCGATGGAATCAAGGCCACACAGTTTGAAATACTTTATCTTTTCCACTCAGGAACAGAAAAGTAAGAATGAGTGTCAGTGAAGGTCTCCTTGTTGGGAGGAAACAGGAAGGGAATGGTGTTTTGGCTGCTGGTCTCTATTTTATTCATTAAGTAGGAAGTGAAGTCATCTGCTTAGAATCAGGGAGGCAGGGAGACTGGATAGATGGGTGAAAATTGATAACTATTGGGAAGGAAGGGTGTAGAAGCTAACTGGAGGAACTATGACACTGAGGGCTGGTTAAGCTGGATATACCCAAATTTCTGAAGGCAGCAACATTTACCTGCCGGGATTTAACAGGTACAGGGCAGGTACACTGCTTCAAAGGAGCGTTTCCTTGATACTAGTGGTTAAATACCCAATGCCAAAGGAAAGGTAAAATTTTAAGTCTTACTTGTAGACCCAGAGAAATATTTTCTGAAGAACTACATTAGTGCTCTGCTTTTATTCTTGATATAACAGTCATCATATGCTGAAGTTATACAGACATCATATTCAAAAAACAGAACCGAAAACTGAAACCCATGAGATGAGTAGATTCTTAGTCTACAGGACAGAGTGGAACTGCCCCCACAGGGTTCCCAAGGCTGTCATCTTTATGAAAGCAGACTGCTACAGCTTTCTTCTCTTGGCGGAGAGGCTAGTGAGTTTGAATTGTCGACCTGTGGGTTAGCAGAGGAATCCTTATGCACTGCATCACCAGGGCTCCTCATTAAATATTACTGGTAAAATTTTAGACAAGCAACATACCAGAAACTCCTGGTGGTGTCTTAATGAATTTTCCATTAAAATGACCAATAACAGCTTCGCATTTTTCTGTTGATTCCATCCTATTTTCACATAAAAATAGAACACTTATAAATATTTATAGTTGTCTTAGTTTTCATTTTGTTCTGTACATGTGACCGAATACAAATACCACCTAGTAAAAACATGAATATGAAAAGGCGAGTTTATCCTATCTTCTGATGATTGTTTTTGTATTTCTCTAGTAAAATAACATAATCTCAAAGTACTTTCTAACTCACAAAGATTAAATTATGGAGAGTATTTAGGATCAACTGTGTCTAATGTATAATTTATTCCAATTGTTGCTAAATTGATAATCTATATACAATAATTTTGTTAATCATGGTATTAAAATAACATTTAAAACAGCAACTGAAATTACTCGCTAGAATTTTGATTGTCTTAAAGATGACTCGCTTTTATGTAGTCATAAAAAAGTATACTCAGAAGACATGGTAAGAACTAGTATCAATCAGAAAGTATACATGATAAGCTTTGTTTTTTGTTTTTGTTTTTTTTACGTTTGCCTTAGGCAAAATGTTTAATTAGTAGTCATTCTTTGACATTTGAAAAACATTGCAGGTAACTGAATACTTTGACTTACTCTTCTTTAATGGAAGAAACATTGGGTAATGTATTCTAAATGCATTATACTCTTAGACTGCCCGAAGAATTGCCTATATTTTCATGGACAGTAGTGGTTTTAATAAGCAACAGCAAATGCAGGGTTCAGTCTTTGGATGTAAAAGCGATACTTAGTAGATCTACTTTCAGAAGAACACCAGAAAGGTGATGAGATCATGTTGAGGCTTTCAACCTGGGCCCTCTGAGCCCAATATGTAAACTGGAGATACAGTCATTGGTGACTTCCTACCTGAAGAATGATTTAGTTTTTACTGGATATTATCTAACTTAACAGAAAGAGTAATGCACTACAGTCAGAGTGCCACTCTTCATTACCTGGCAGCTAGGTGACAGTGGGCATGTCCATTATTTGCCTAGATTGTCTCATACATAATGACAGTGAGTAACATACAGGTCTGTGGTAGATTTGATCATCATAAAATGGGACAATACATATGAAAATAAAATGTCAACGATATTTCCTCCAAAATCAAAGTCAATACTTTAAAACATGAAGACATTATCTGTTACTACACAGTATTAAGAGGCCCTCTAAAAAGGTATCATCAGCTTTTGCACATGAACTTTTGGATAAGAGCTTGCTACCAATCAAGGTTCCACCTGTTTAAGATTGTTTCTTTAGAAACCAAATTGACCACTACATTAAACAGTAGTTTTCCTTCCTGGGGAGAGGGAAGGGGGAAAAAAAGATGCAAGGAAGGAGGGAATTTTAGCTGTATCTAAAACAATAATAAATTTGTAAAATGGTATTTTTAAAATTTGTGTGGTGGGTTACTTTTCTGAATGTCTGAAACATTTCCACTGATTGATTTTGATGGTGAATCAAATTTCCATCAAATGAGAAAAAACACAGCAACTTTATCTTTAAAATACAGGAGCCTGATGATTGTTTTTTAAGAGGTTGCAGGGCTCCTGGATCTAATTAACACACATTTTCAAAAGTACTGCTCATATGATGTCTCTTTGCTGTAAGCTACCAAATATTCAGTGCACTTTTGTTCAAAAATTCTTGATGAACTTCCAAAAGATCTGAGGATGTACAAGTGGTACTGACACACTTTGAGTTCATGGTGCAACTAGTTATCATACCATCATACCATTGGCTTAAAGTTTCTCTTTTTGCTCCCCCGCCCCCTTCCCCCCAATTTTCTGAAATTAGTTTTCTTGACATTATAAAATAGGGCAATCTGCTTACCTAGCAAAGCCAACACCACGACTTGTACCACTGGAATCACGTAGTATCCTTGTAGAAATAACTTGCCCAAATGGTTTGAGCATGTTTTCAAGTTCTTGTTCATCCATGGACAGTGGCAAATTAGAAATATACAGGTTAGTAGGATCTTGTTCCTGTTGCTAAAACAGAATAAAGAGTCTCCATTAATTTCCAATGGATGGTGAGATCATTATAATAAGAGTGATAATTATATCAACATATCTATTTTTAATTAGCCACTCTCTCTCCTACCTTGTGAGGTTATGGGAACTACAGAAGACTCAAATCACCTTGGACACTTGAAAGAAGTGTCATCAGAAGCAGGACAATCTGTGCAGGTCAGATATGATCCCAGTGAGCCATTCTTAGATTTGGAAGTTGAACTGCTGGCAGATACTACTGAGTTGGAGAGGAAGCCTCATGGAACCACAACTCTCAGCTGTCTGCTGTGTTCCCCAAAATAGCCAGCCTCTCCTCCACAGCTATTTTTAGGTGTCCAATTCAAGTACACAATCACACAAGACGTAGGATAAGCATTCAACCCAAGGTCGGTTTGAACCGCAAGATCGGTGGCTCAAACTCACTAGCCGCTCCTTGGAAATCCTATACAAGGTCACTAAAAGTAGGAACCAACTCAGTGGTTCTTAACAACAACAACAGTAAGTCAATTTATAGACACACAAAGAAGAATGTTGGAACAAGTCATCTAGAACCCAAAAGGGGGGCTTTTCCCAAGTTCATTCTCCTCTGCTCTAGTAAGGCAGTGACATTAGTAATTCTGCATTGTGATAACCAAAGAAAATGGACAGCTCCTAAATTAACCAAAACACAAGACCTTAAAGGTATATAAAATGATAAATTCTGGGCAGAATGAACTAGAGAATCTAGGCAGAGCCAGACTAGCTAGGGGAGAAGAAATAATTAACCTTTATTATTCAAACATTGATACAGGGGTCAACAGTAATAGAAATTATCTGGGAACTTGTTAGAAATACAGAATCCTGGGTCCTACACCAGCTCCACAGAACCAAAAACTACATTTAACAAGATCCTTAGGTGATTCGTGTACTTAAGAGTTTGAGAAGTTGTGACTTTTATGATCTTAGATCATTTCCTACCCACCCTTCCTTTGCTAAGATATAGAATCCACTGAAATCAAAGAACAGTAAGTTTTCATAAAACGTGTATGTGTACTTACTAACACTGCTATGTATATTTAATAGGAATACGTCCTCAAAAGTAGCGTTGATCTCAATGATGAACATGGAGCAAAAATTTCAAGAGCTTAATTTGCTGATGGGGCATAACTCAAAATGAGAAAAAAAACAGCTTTAAACATCCAATAATAATCAGAATGTGAAATGTATGAAGTACGAGTCTAGGAAAATTTGAAGTTATCATTAAGAAAAATTGAATACATAAAGCATTGGTATCCTAGGTATCAGTCTGCTGAAAAGGACATTGGTACTGGCCATTTTGAATTGGATACTGATATGGTTTACAGTGCTGGGAACCACAAATTGGAGAGGAATGGTGTGACAATCATCATTAAAACGAGCATTTCAAGATCTATTTTGAAATACAATGCTATCTGTGATATAATAACATCTACAAGAAACACCAGTTAGCCACTAAAGCCAACAAAGATGAAACTCAAGAATTCTACCAACTTCTTCAGTCTGAAAATTATCAAACATGCAAGCAAGATACAAATCTTTAAAGTGTTAAAGAGCAAAGTTGTCTATTTGAGAGATAAGGTGTGCCTGACCCAGGATACTTTCAATTGCCTCATACTCATGTGAAAGTTGGACAGTGAATAAGGAAGAACATTAAAAAATCGATGCATGTGAATCATGGTGTTGGTAAAGAATGTTGGAAGTACCATGGTCTGGCTAGAATACCCAAAGCAATCTGTCCTAGAAGAAGAGTTAGAACACTTCTTAGAGAAATGAGGATGGTGAAATTCTGTCTCTTGTACTTTGCACATTATGTGAATATAGGCTCAAATAGATAAAATGCTGCAAAATACAGGAGGAAACAATAAAAATGGTCTTAGGTTTTAAAGTCTTCATATTCTTCTGAGGTAGGTGGAAAGTAAAGTCTTATCTCCGTATTTCCACTTTACTCATCATCTCCATCAGTTTTACCCAATTAGCTGCACAGATTCTCCATTAGTCATCTCATTTTGGCCCTAACCTCTCAAGGCCCTGAAGGCTTTCTAGTGTGCAAGGCTTCACATGTTATTGTGGAAATCTGGTTCTTAATCAGCCTTTTCTCTATGAACATGAGGAGTTTTGAGAGACCCTGTGGCCCCAAACAGCCAATGGGCACCAACAATTCACCTCATACATTCCAGACTGTGTCCTTCTAAAGGTGTCTGTCATGGATCGAATTGTGCCCCCAACAAAGTATATGTTGTACATACAACCCCTATATTTGTGGTGATGATCCTTTTGGGAAATCAATTTTTTCTGTTGTTAAGAGACAATATTAGTGTAGGGTGTGTTTTTAAGTCTTTTTTTTTTTTTTTTTTAAGATACAGAAGAGATGAAACAACCAACTGAGCAAGCAGAGATGGGAAAAAACAAACACCATGCCGCATGAAGGTCACCAATGAGCCAACAAAGAAAGCAAGCTTTCCCTAGAACTGCTCTTCTGAATTCAGACTATTAGCCGCTGAAACTATGAGAAAACAGATTTATGTTTGTTAAAGCCACCCACTGTGATATTTCTGTTACAGCAACACTGTATAAAATTTAAGACAGTGGCACAATAATGGTTAAGGGGCTCAACTGCCCACTGAGAGGTTGGAGATTCAAATGCACCAGACACCTCATGGGAGATGAGACAATTAACTTCTGTCAAGATAACAACCTTGGAAACCCTATGGGCAGTTCTACTCTATCCCGGAGGGTTGTCATGAGTTGGAAAGTGACTTGATGGCAGTGGAGGGGTCCTTATAAAATAACCACGTCTTCCGGAAGTTTACAGGTACAGAAACACTGGTAAAGAATGAGACCTAAAAATGAAGTGCACAAATCACAATGACAAGAGAGAGAACCTTAACACTTTTCATAGGGCATGACATTGAGCTGGGACTCGAACCACCGCAAGCCATGAAGCTGAAAGTAGATTGTGACAGGCTATCTTGGGAGTCTGATGTTATTATGTTACTTATTACTACTTAAACATTTCCATCTAAGCAGTGGTAACACCAAAGGGGAGTGAATATTTCTCAAAGACTCCGCAGGCCAAGACCAAGGTAGCTTCGACAGAGCTGCAAAATTTCCTTGAAGCCTTGTGTTTTATCTTTAAAAAGTTATACAAATTTTGCAAACTTCTCCCTAACTATCTGGTTTAATGTAGTAATAAAAGTTATGGACTCAATTCCTTCAAGCAGAACTCTTATTCCAGGAAGGTAAGTAATGCTTACCT